AAGATATGTTGTGATCTAAGCAACAATGATTATTGTGCTTACGCTTTCCATTTTATCGGAAATGAAGGCCGTTAAATTAGAAAGAGCTAATATATACGAGGCATAGCCTTACAAAGTACATATTTTTTATTTTCGCCAAAATTCTAACTTCGCATTTTCATCTTCACTGTCTCTGACGCCCATAATGTTAGCTTTGAGCTACACGCATTCTATGCTTTATCGCATTGCCTTCACTCGTTTGAATAAAACGCTTACCGGAACCGAACCTCTTCCCTCGGTGGCTTCAGGTTCCCTGCTTTGTCTCTATAAGATCGGCAAACACCATAATCGATAAGCACCAGTTGCATGTTCCCTCGAGAAGAGTGTGGAGCCAGGCAGAAATTCGAACACTTTAATAAGTTTTGATTATCAAAAACAACTTAGAAAATCGTGATGATGGAAAAAAAGCAATCACTTTGATATCTCTATGAACAAAACCGATATTATGCAATTCTTGAATAGGAGATAGCGCCAAGAAACCGAGACGCAATCCGGAAGACAACGACAATCGCCCATCTACGAATTGATGTCGGATTTTTGTGAGGTTGTCGCCAAGCTGAATTCATAAAAGCTCAGTGACGGGAGAGGAAAAACCTGAATTCAATTAACAAAAGCGTTTTGCATTTTAAGGAAGAACGAACAAATGTAGTCATGATTGCTTTAACTTGAATGTACTGTAATCACGAAGGACATTTGCTTTTCAACATAATGGAAATTTTGCAGTTCACATGACTGAAAAATCTCAGTTCAGCTACTTCTTATTGGTACGGTATTAAAAACGCACATTACTGACGTCTTTGACGCATTGATATGACTCAGCAAAGACACCCATTATTCTTTTTTTTCGCAAATGAGTAATGCTTACCAATGGCATAATGAGAAATTTGAAGTGATCCTCTATTTTACCTCGGTCGATCATCCGCACCAGATGGTTGCATCCTAGAATAAAACATGGCTCACGCTTTGTAATCTGTGAGTTGAGTTTCAACTTAGCACGATTTCTCCGAATGATTGAAATTGAGGAGGAGATTTAAATGTTTCTATGTCTTATTATTCATTGAATATCGGATAGAATGCACAAAGGAGATTAATTATGCTTCTAGATGAGAATTTGTATGTATTAGTTCACGTATCATCTCTTGCTCGTTCTTTTTTAAGAAACAACACTAAAGACCTTTTTTGTCCGCTTGTACCATCACAACGTAATCCATGTCGAGGCCATGAGAATTGGGTCCGCAGATCTCGAGTTTGCAAGCAAACG